TTTTTTTTTTTTTTTTTTACAATTTCTCGCAACCAGGTATAGTTCAAGTCATAGCTTTAGAAAGCAGGACAGGATGGGCCAAGAGTGGTAAGGAGTGGTTTATGGTCCAAGTTTGTTTGTTCCTCACTAGAGCCTATAGCAGGTGAAATGAATATTTCTTAGAGTACCTTTAACTACTAGGTGGACAGTGGGGTATTGAAGGTACAAGTCAGCAATTCTAAGTCATCACACATTTTGTCATATTCAGCAAAATTTTCTTCACATTTCTCTGCCTGGATTTTCAGTTTGTGGGCTCCACAAAACCCAGGAGGCACTGTTGCTCATGCACATGCCCCATGCACAGCTCAGCCATATTCTTAGAACATCTGGTGTGAACAGCTCTTCTTAAAATACAACATGTCGTAATAATGAGAAAAATTGTTTTTTAACTTGAACGTGTTTTAAGCAGAAAGGCTTCTCATGATAACAAGATACTAAAAGAGCATCCAGGTGAGTCAAATGCTGCCTAAACGATTATGGTATGGCCAAGCGTGTACATGTGTACATAATCCCTTCTCTAGTGGTAACATTACATTAGCAAATACCTGTGCCACATTAGCCTGGTCGCTAAATAAACCTTTCCTGGGACATTCAACTAAATTGCTAGTTTGCAAATGTATGCAGCAGTCCTGACTTCAACTTGTGATAGAATAACAGTGGAGTCTGTAGCTGGTTACCCATATGCTGTACCCCACTCACTAGTATTCTGACATGTCTCTTCGTCCAGTCATTAGTATTGTTGTTGTGGTAATACACGCTCATGAATTGTGAGTGCTGCGACTAGGAGATCCTAACTGAAATGACTTGTGAACATGGTGATTAAAGTACAAACATTCGTTTGCAAGAATCACTGACTATACCTTTAAGTTTATCTTTACGTAAAAGCGGGTGGTGCAACACAACTACTATTTCTTTTAGTCATATGCTAAGCTGTAATGTCCCATGTTGCACTTTCTAGTTGTCCATTCCCCTCAAAAGTCAGCAACAGTCAAGATGGCTTGCTATTGATCAACAGCGCATATTTGACTTTGCATTTAACTCACAATGACATTAGTACTACGTTGCTTTGTTCCTGAGAGCCAATCCAGTAAATGGTGCAATTTTACATGAATTCAGTCTGCTGCTAAATTTCAGTTTGAAGTGTTATAACCTTTTTGAATTTATAGTTAAAAATAGGTTCAAGCAAGGGTTAAAGGTTTTGGTTAAAGAATGTAGGAAATCCTTCAGATAAAACTATGGTAATACAAATTATTTAGGCATAAATGTGTTCTGTGTGAGATGAACAAAATTGTGTGTTTGGGTGCACTCTCACCTCAAGGCAGTCATTGAAGAGGAACAACGTAACATGTTCTCCACGGTCACATGGCTGGTCTCCCAGGGCAATTGTTTCAACTCGGTAAACGAGACTGCGATGGGAGGACAGCAAGTTGGCCTACAGAGAAGAAAAATCATAGTAAGACAGGTGTGGAGTATTGTGTGTAGACTGATGAGAAACAAATGAATTGAAACCATTTTAAGAGGAGTCTGAAACATAAAATGTGGAAAACTAACAAAGAGTCTTAAAACGTTCCGTACTGACTGTATGTGTGTGTGTGTGTGTGTGTATATATATATATACATACACACACACACACACATATATATATACATACACACACACACACACACATATATATACACACACACACACACACACACATATATATACACACACACACACACACACACATATATATACACACACACACACACACA